TTTATTGAGGCTTTAGGCGTTTCTCCGATTACTAGGGGCTGACAAGTAATCTCCTCTGCTGCTGGTTATGAGTCCTCTGTTTCAGCTGTAAGGTCACTGTGCCCCACATCTTATCTCAACTGCAGTTGGCTGGCGCCTGTGTAGTTTGTCACTCCCTATTCCCTCCACAGTGGCAAGTCAGAGAAGGATGCACAACTAATTAAAAAAGTCACACATGCATGCTTTACAGATCATCCAAGGGATGTAATTGATATTGACAATGACAAGTAACAGGATCCAAAATCAGGCATTGCCGGGTTACTTCCAGCAAGTTTTTATCTATGCCAATGTAAAATGTGTACACAGTGGGGCCCATTCCCATTGCACTGAACTCATTAAGGATACAGTAGTGATAAGTAGATGTGTTTGCACATCTAGAGGGACATCCTCTTGACATGGGGGCCCAGGTCACTGGGCACATGCACCCTAGGGAATCTTCTTTCCACCACTAGGTTGGTGGACCCTCCTACTCTAGGACACCACTCATTCTCAACCAAAACTGACTGGCATGTAAATGTTCTCCAGGTATTGGCTGCATGGACATTTTTATAGGAGGATTATCCAAACAGTCCAGCACTGTATTGTTACTTCAGCTCAATACATTACCTTACCTCTGCATCCGAATTCCTGCCAAGCCGAACTTTGCTTACTCATGCTGCTAGTCTTCATCAAACACATCATATTCGACTTAAAACATTTATTGACTTCTTTTGCATAAGTTAACAAGTTGCTGCAAATTTTAAACTTGTGAATAATGTGTTCCATTGTCTGGCATCACAAGAGGGGTGCTCACAATTTGACCAAAGTCTCATATGTTAGTAGTTTTCCTCTATATTCCCATCTAAGAGCCTGATGAACTCTCCTGTCCCTACATTCTGCCTTCTTTGGTTCTCCTGCTCTACCAATAATCCCAACAAATCTACCATACCTCCCTTAAATACCCTGTTCCTACCTCCCTGATGGACAGGGGCTACAGCACTAAAACAGGAAGACCTAGCTAACAGAGGATGTACAGTACCTTGCTACATACTGATGCCTTTGAACTTTGGTGTTGGAGAAGAATTCAAGAATATTATTGGTAGTAAGGAAAACAAACACATGAATCCTTTAAAAAAAAATCAAGCCCATACAACTAAACTGAAGCTGTCTTATTTTGGATATATTAAAATAACCAACTCATTGGAAAACAAATTTACACTTGAAAAATCTGAAGAGAAAAGAGGAGGATGACTAGCAATAAGGTAGCTAGCTACACTCACAGAAAGTATTAACATGCCATTGTGAAGGCCGAAAAAACAATTAGATGACAAATCATTCTTGAGAAACACTATCCACTTGAGTCCCGGAATTGATATTGACTTCACGGTATTTAATTAATTGAACATCCTAAAAAATATTTTAAATATTTCTTCTACTGGCCGTCCCTGAGTTACAGACATCCAAGTTACGAAAGACTCCCACTTAAGAATGGAGGCAGCATGACGTCACTGCCGGCCGGCCACCTGCGCTCCACATTGGTTATGGATACTGCTGAGCATCCATCTTGCCGGCTACCATACAGTACTGTGCACTGCATGCTCACCAGCGCCTAGAACATCCCACATCACAGCACGCCCAGAAGCTCCTGGAACATCCCACATCACTGTACAGCCAGAAGCTCCTGGAATCTGAAGAAGCTGGTGAGATTTATTACATTACTCAGTGCCCACTACTATTTGGAGTATGCCTTGTCTTTGCACCTGTAACTTCTATAATGTTACTGTACAGTATAGTGTAAATCCATCCATGTTCCAGCATGAGCTCATATCAGCTGCCTACGTGGAGCTCCCATTCAATACCATCTGTTTTTGTACTGTTTATACAGTATTTAGTCAGTAAAGCCTTTTTTGTCATTCATGCTGCTTGGTCCCATGCTGCTGGACAGCTTTGAGGGTTGGGGACCCCTGCTGCTTCTGCAGGCTGAGGATGCACAACAAGTGGGCAAATCCAAATGATGAGCCTTATATCTTGCCACCTCAATTAGTGTTTTTAGACAGTACAGCAGCAGTTTTATTCAAATAAATTGGTAATATATTGGCTAGCTGCTAAACTTTCTTTCTTTTCTTTCTTTTTGTTGTTCAATTCTAGAGTGCACTCCACGTTTTTTGTCTTCACCCTGCAGTGATGCCTCCAAAAAACAAATCTGATACAAGTGTTGGTGATACAGCAAAGAAAAGAAAAATGATCACCATGGAAAATAAAGTAGATATAATAAAGAAATCAGAGAAAGGTGAAAGTCCATCATCTATTGTCAGAGCATTTGGCTACAGTCAGTCAACAATTGCAACCATTTTTTAAAGATAAAAGGTAGAATAATGGAACATGTGAAAGGCCATACCCCAATGAATGCTACGATTATTACCAAGCAACGCAGTGGTTTAACCAGTTGCCGACCGCAGGTAGCCAAATGACGGCTACACTGCAGCCAGCCAGTCATGGGAGGCTGTCATATGACATCCTCCCAGAACGCGCTCTCCTGCGCTTACTCCCAGGGGCGCGCACCCGGCGATCTATGCGATTGCTGTGTCCTACGGACACAGCTGATCATGTGTTGTGCTAAAAGGCCAATCACAGTGGCCTTTTACCACGTGATCAGCTGTGCCCAATGACACGCTGATCACTGGGAAATGCAGTTGACAATTCTTGGCTGCACTTTCCTCACGCTGTCAGAGCAGGGATCGGCACTGATCATCAGGGCACTGATGATCAGTGCCCTGATGATCGGTGCCCAGCAGTGCCACCCCCACCAGTTCTGCCCACAAGTGACCAGCAGTGCAGCCCACCTGTGCCCAGCAGTGCCACCCACCTGTGCCCAGTAGTGCCCACCAGTGTCACCCACCAGTGCCCAGCAGTGAAGCCCAGCAGTGCCGCCAGTCAGTGGCACCCAGCAGTGCCGCCAGTCAGTGCCCAGCAGTGCCGCCAGTCAGTGCCGCCTATCAGTGCCACCTATCAGTGCCGACTATCAGTACCCATCATCAGTGCCACCTATCAGTGCCACCTATCAGTGCTGCCTATCAGTGCTACCTCATTAGTGCCGCCTATCAGTGCCCATCAGTGCTGTCTATCAGTGCTCATCAGTGCTGCCTATCAGTGCCTATCAGTGCCCATCAGTGCTGCCTGTCAGTGCAGCCTCATCAACGCACATCAGGGAAGGAGAAAAATTACCTGTTTGCAAGATTTTATAAAAGAAACAAAAAAATGTTTTCTTCACATTTTTTGCTTTTTTTGTTTATAGCGCAAAAAATAAAACACCCAGTGGTGAGTAAATACCACCAAAAGAAAGCTCTATTTGTGAGAAAAAAATTATAAAAAGTTCATATGAGTACAATGTTGCACAACCGCGCACTTGTCATTCAAAGTGCAACAGAGCTGAAAACTGAAAATTGGCCTGGTAAGGAAGGGGGTGTAAGTGCCCAGTAGGCAAGTGGTTAATTATTGAGATGTAAAGGCTGTTAACAGTTTGGATAGAAGACAAAAATCTGCGTAATATGCCTTTCTTTAGTTCAAGAAAAGGCTCAAAGCCTTTTCAAAGATTTAAAAGCTGCTCGTCCAGAAAGTGAAGGTGATTGCAATGAAGAATTTGTTGCAAGTAGGGGTTGGTTCAATCGCTTTAAAGAAGGAGCTAATTTGCATAGAATTAAAATTCAAGGTGAAGCAGTGAGTGCCGATGCAAGTGCTGCAAGTGATTTTTCCCAAGATATTGGAAGATATTATTGATGATGGAGGTTATTTGCCAGAACAAATTTTTAATGTAGACGAAACTGGCTTGTTTTGGAAAAAAATGCCTAAGAGAACCTATATTTCAAAGAGGAAAAAAATGCACCAGTACACAAGGCATCAAAGGACAGGCTGACTACATTACTTGGGGGTAATGCATCTGGGGATTTAAAACTCAAACCTTTGCTAGTGCATCACTTCTTCAATCTGAGGGCACTATGTAATGTCACTAAAGCATCTCTTCCTGTTATTTGGAGGACAAATTCAAATGCTTGGGTTACAGTTTCGGTCTTTGAAGAATGGTTTTTGAACCATTTTGTCCCTGCTGTTGAACATTATTGCTTGGGCTAAAACATTTCCTTCAAAATTCTCCTTCTCCTTCCTTGACAATGCTCCTGGACATCCAAACACTTTAGGTGACATGCACCCCAACGTAAAGGTGGTATTTGTATCCCCCAACACCACATCACTACTTCAGCCAATGGATCAGGGAGCCTCCTTTAAGGCCTATTATTTACAGAGGACATTCTGTCAGGGCTACCCAAAAGGATGAGATGACCTTAAGAGAATACTGGAAGAATTATAACATTTGTTATGCAATCATGAAATTAAAAAATATTGCTGATGCTTGGGATGAAGTGAAAGAGAAAAAATATGAGAGTTTGAAACAAATTGTTCCCCCAATTCACACAAAAAATTTCTGGTGTTTACAAAGGATGAAATCGACGAAACCAGGCAAGCTGTGGTTGCTTTTGGTAATCAACTGCAGTTGGACATCAATGAAAATTATATCACAGTTACTGGATGCCCATGGCAAAGAACTAACCAATGAAGACCTTATGGAACTAGAGCAGCAGATGATAGCATTTAGGAAAAAAAAAATAGGCCCAGAAACTCCAAAATTTTAAAAGTTTTCTACAAAACAGTTAGCTTAATGCTTTTCATCTGATTGAACCAGGATTTGCAAAGTTAGAGGAGAAGTTCACCATAGTTTACCGTACAATTACCGAAGGCCTAAGCTGCTACAAGGCTATTTATGATGAGAAAAAGAAAAGCTCTGTGCAAACCTCCCTTGATGCCTACATCAAGAAACTGACTCCAGCAGCAGAATCAGATAGTTAGTCTATAATACCAGTCCCATCCCCTCCCTAGATTGTTAAAGGTTGCATTTATGTATTAGTTTTGGATAGTACAGTACTGTACAGGGGCGGACTGACAATTCACGGGGCCCCTGGGCAATAGGGGATCATGGGGCCCCTGTATCCTTGCCCAAACTCAAAAAAGCCTATGAAAAAGGTACCAGGGGACTCTCAAGGGGCCCCCTACTGACCCCGGGCCCTCGGGCAGTGCCCGAGTTTACAAATGGTCAGTCCGCCCCTGGTACTGTATGGTGTGGGGTTAGAGCCACTGCAAGGTTTTTACTGCTGTCTGTATCCTGTCATTTTTTGGCTGGAGTTACACTTAAACAATGTACTGTTCTGACTTACATACAAACTTGACCTAATAACAAAGCTACAGAGCCTGTCTTGTTTGTAACCCGAGGACTGCCTGTATTTGATCCAGTGCATCCAACCTTATTAGTTAGCTGGCTAGACTTGTTTTAATATTAGTTTTTAATGTTAGAAGCTGTACTAACTTCTTGATGTAATAAGACAGCCATTAACCACTTCAGGTGGGTCTACACTTGCTCACTTCAAACCTCTGGGGGCAAGTTCCACTCATTATTGTACAATAGTTTCAGAAACAAGGGAAAGATAATGGCATTGAACCAGACTTCGCTATGTAAATCCTTTATTGCACTTTAGTGAGGTTTGTTTCATTTGTAGATCCTACCCATAGAACTAATAACTATGTAAGTATAAAATAAATACTATCTAGTCTTTAGTTTTAATTAAATTGTATATGGGATAGCACTGTAAAACATGGCTGTGAAGATTATGCATAGGGGGTTATTTATTAACGTCTTCATGCCGGCACCTCTTGGCCCTTTAAGGGGTTTCAGATGCCGGGAGGTGGGGCGTGGTTTTAGGGTCATGTGACAGCCGTGAATCGCCGTCACAGTGGTCACATGATCGGAAGAGGTCCTGATCGCAAGGGGAGATCGGGACCTTTCCATGAGACACCAACATATGTGCTGGGAGAGCGCAGGGCGCGCGCTCTCAGCACAGTGGTGCGCAAATATGCGGCCTCTCAGCGTCAAGACCGAGTCGCCAAGAGGCCACATATTTGCGTATGGTCAGCGTCAAGGGGTTAAATTGGAGAGTGCAAAATCTGGTGCAGCTCTGCATAGATACCAGTCAGTTTCCAGGCTGTATTGCCAAAGTGAACAAGCTGAAGTTAGAAGCTGATTGCTTACCATGCACAGCATCCCCAGATTCTGTGTGCACTAGTTTTAGTAAATCTACCCAATAATCTTTTTACAATATGAGATATAGCAATGCAGCTTAAAAGAGAAGTCTGGCCAAAGCACTTTTGCCCATACTTGTCATGTGAGTCACAGGAGTGCACTTGTAAGCAGGTGTTTCCAAGGGGTTAATATTTGACTCATTTGCCTTCAGTTATCTGAGTCAGCCAGGGTTACACATATATGTGGTGTGGTACATCGTATGTGCTTTGCACAGGAACCGCACCGCATTCCTGTGCAACTCACATGCGATTTGTGTGCGGTACAATTGGAGCAATACATTTTGTATGGCTCTAATCGCACCGCACCAATACCAAAACGGTGCAGGACCCTTTTTTTGGTCCGCACTAGAATCGGATCACATGAGTATTCACACCTATGCGACCCGATTCTGCACATCGCACCTCGTTTTGAGGGCTGATTTCTGGGTGTTGTTAACTTAACATACACACCCACAGCGGTTCATATGAACGTGGTGCAATTCTGATGCGGTGCGGAATTCGCACAGAAAACGCTGCAAATTTCGGACCGCATCAGTGTGAACCCAGACTTAAGTCTGTTGTCTTTCATTAAAACTGTTTCAATGTTGTTGTGTGCACTTTGTCCTCAGGATGACCTACTAGCTGGATGGATCAAAGAGGAAGGGGTTAACGTTACTGACCAGGTTTTGCTGCCAAATCATGGGATTCACTGCCCCATACAGGTCATCCCATATGCTGTTGAAATACTGACAAAATGTAGGCTGTTATGCTGTTCAGTGGGGTGGGGGGCAGCCAAGGTTTCCTGAGGGATTGGTAACCTAAGGACTCTTAATTACCAACCTTGGATCTACTGCCTTTAAGGATCATTTTTAAATGGACTCTATGAACTCTTTTGCCAGTAATGGACTCTTGTCTTGGAGGGACTGTTTATGGACTTGCTGCTATCAGGTATGGTTACCCATTGGGCATTAAAGCACCCCTGTACAGGTTTGTGTGAGAAGCTGCTTTTTAAGGACTGTTCCTGTATGTTCTGCACTACTTCAGTAAAGTTTCTGTTAACTGTTTAGTGCCTGGTCTGAAGTCTCTTTAAGTGGTGCATTCCATGGTGTATCAAAAGAACAGGGCTTGTAACAAGGGGACTGTAAGCTAGAGGAGATATGGTACATTTTAGTCCAGCATGTAGGTTGCTGTATAACACAGGCTACATTGCCATTATGAGGTATAACCAAACATGTATCATTTCTTAAAGCAGCCAGCCAGACAGGAAATGGGTGACTTGGTGTAGGGTGAGAGTTACTCTGGTAGTGAAGGGGTGTTGTTCTTGTCCCTTTTACTAGAGGCCAGTTCCCCACATACTGGGACCAGACCCATGGCACAGCGTACCTAGGGACCTAGCCTGGGAGTCACGGAAGAGATGTAGAGGGGCCCCTGAGAGAGAGAGAAAGCAAGCACGCAATTACGGAGTGGAGTTAATTTTCTGTATCCATTAGTAAATGTGGACATGTCACTGAGATTGAGGTGATAGTGACTTCTGGGTTGGTGTATGCCAGTACAGGCTCTGCAGTACTGGATCCTAAATGCTAAGTGCATTCCTTGGGAAGTGGTGTTCTCTATCTTTTGTAGTGTCTGGAGTGCTTAGTGTTAACAGTGTAACAGGTTAGCCATGGGTTTCTAGAGGGTTAACTGTGTTCTGAGTGCCGCTCACTTCGAAGTTTGGAGTTATACCTTAATGCTGATTTCACATGACCTGCCTAGTGTGCCGCAGAGAGCCTGACCCAGCTCCTCACATTCTCTCTCCCCCGCCAGGCGCTCCAGTGAGCACTGGAGGGGCAGAGCACAGAGCGGATCAAAGAACTGAGTGATCAGTGGTCAAGTGATCACTCAGGCTCAGAGTTGGCAAGGGACAGCTGCAGCAGGTTGGTAAGTATGTATGTTTGTTTTGTTATATTCCAGCTCTTCTCATTTAAAGAGCAATATTAAACAAGTGAAATCGGTCAGAGCTTTAAATGCTACTCAGCTGACATTGAAATTTAGCCTAATCTGTGTCCTCTTTAACCCTGCAGTAAGAATCCAGAAAAGACCTGACATGGTCACTGAGAATGTAATTCTTGAAGTTAATGATGTGTAACTGGAAAGCTTTCTTTCGTATCATCAATCACATTCACACTTCCAAGATAGTTTTGAATCTAACTGTAGGAAGCCCATAGGAAGAACTAAAGCTAAGGATCCGCACAACAGCCAGACAACTAGCATTTTTAGAATGAGTTCAGCAATAACAATACCAATATACTGTATCTCTCAGGACAAGGTACTTTAATGGAACACCTCACCTTCATAGGCTTTAATACACAGGTCATCGGGAGTTCCGTAGACCTTCCATCGGCTCCAGCTTCCTGTTCCTTTATAAATAATCACTTTTTCTTTTGCATTGCCATAGTTCAAATGAAGGCTGTCCCCTATGATCCCGAACAAAGTGTCATTTTTACACTCCCATTTCTGGAGCTCACTAACTCCATCACATGAAAACAAGGTAACCGAGCTTGCGTCTTGTTTCGCAGACACCCCCAAGCACCGCGACTCTTGCACGTTTATCAGCTGGTGCTTAGAGATCCAGCGGAATTTCTGTGCTTTACTGTTCTCTTTACAGGGAGCCACCACAATTACGTTGTTCTGAGCTTGTAAACATTTCTTGTGGTCTTCATTGTAGATTAAAAATGTGTCCGATTCTGAAAAGAAAAAAAAAGATTTATATAAGCTGCTAACCAAAAAAGATTTTGACTACAAGGTCCCTATTACCATCTTGTATAAGTCATGGAGCCCCAGGGTATCAAATCTTGATAAAGAAAAATTAAATTTAAAGTCCAACTTTGGGCAACTAAAAAATGTATCCCTTGCAGTGCTCGTGTAGGTCTAGCAAAACAATAAATTATTTACTTACCTGATCCTCTGTTCCTCCTCACTGCTAGACCAGTTCCTGCAGTATCTTCTTCTCTATGCCTTAGTCATCTAGGATCCTGATGAGATCAGGGTCCCTAGCCATGCATTGGACATGTTGATGCGAGGGACAGTCCACAGTGAAAGCGAGCAGAGGATCAGATAAGTAAAAGTGTTTCTTCTCTCCCACTGAACAAAAAGAGCCCTTACATTGCAGGTGGGACCCCGTTGCAAGGGATCATTTAAAGTTTTTTCAGAGTTGGGCTTTAAACCATGCTAGGGGACTACAATGGTTCTCTGTCAAGGTGTACCATTCGTGATGCAATTATAAACAATATATTCATAATATATATACTTTTATCATAAGTATAACCACTCAATTTATACCAAAAATCCACTGCAACTGTGGATCTCTACTACTATAGATTGATGTCACAAACATCTAAGGTAAATATTAAATTCAGTTGTTCTGGCTTAGAGCTACAGTATGTATAGAAATCCTGCACTATGGAAGTAATACATGAAAACCTTTGAGGCTGCACCCTTTTTATGTGCACATAAAACAGCTATTCACAGTAAATTCGGTTGAAAAAAGACTCATATACAATGAGGGGAATTTACCGAAACTGGAGTTCCCTTTCATGGCAGTTAAAAGTACAGACAGCATAGCTGAAGATCCCCTTCATGACAGTTAAGAGTACAGACATTACCACCAGAGTTCCCGGGAAACTGTATGTACTTTTAACTGTCATGAAGGGCATGATTCATGTAGTGAATCATGGATAGAAGGATATAATCTTCTTCCATTAAAGAGTCTGTTTTTATGGTATTACACTATGGGAGTCCCCTATATGTTTTTAATATATATATTTATAGTGCCGCGCTCCTATTTTGAATCCTTAATCATGAAATCTCTCACGCTTACATATGCGTAAGCTGATACATACATAAAAATGTGACCAAATAAATTGCTGTGACTTATAAATTCAAAATTAAAAAATGAATATAAATAAATCAAAACCATAATCTATGCTAATTCATATCATATGTGATCAATCAA